CAGATTTGTTCATTTTGTAATGATATCTTTAGTTCTCTAATTTTGGTGAATATTTTTGTCATTTTTGGTAAAAAGTGATTTTTTCGACTTAAAGTTGTTAAAAACCGCAAGTCCAATTGCTTTGATATTATTACTTATATAGGTACTACATGTGGACCTCTCTCAGATTTGTTCATTTTGTAATGATATTTTAATTATCTACAGTAATTTTGGTGAATATTTTTGTCATTTTTGGTAAAAAGTGATATTTTCTTCTTGTTAAAAACCACAATCATTTATGGTGAAAAATGATATTTTTGAATTTTTGTTGAAAACAGCAAGTTCCATTGCATTGATACTATGCATATTGTTCATTTTCTAATGATATCTTCTGTTCTATAATTGAAATGTGCATTGCAAACAGGGGAGCTATCTCAGCCGAGAGGCTGCTTGTTTAACTTTCTCAGAAAAATTCAGCCCAGAATTTAATAGTAGCAGAAACTCAAATCCGTAGTTTTTTTGTTCAGAAATCAATACTTTTTAAATTTATGAAGACTCTACTTACCCAGAATTTTTGCTTTTTTCACAGATTTGTTTGACCTTGTAGCCCGTGCTCAACGTAACCGCATGGACGACCAACGAGGAATGACACCCAATTTAGAACTTCCTGAATTCTTGAGGGTGCAAGCTAATGCGCGAAATGCTCCTGGAAGCAGACTGAAACGGTCGCCACCTGTTTGCAAAGGTAACGCTGCAAACCAGTGGCAACCGAAATCAGCGTCAGATTCTGAGAATGTTGATGAGGTTAATCCAAAAATGTCTACCGCTTCCCGATGTGAAGTGTATTATCCACCAAGACCGCATTCCACTCCACCAATAAGACAAATTCAGTCAAATGACCTGAGCTTCCGTGATGGGATACTGCCAACGCACCATGAGGCCGAATTTGCCTTTGGTGGATGGTCAGGAATATCAACACCAAAATTTGATGATTCAGAGATTTTAGGACTAAGCTATAGAGAAGACAACCCACAAATGGAATTATCATACAGAGCCAAGGAGAAATATGCAAATTTTGGAAATGTGACTCTGACCAAAAGTAAAAGTTTGTCGCAAAACAGGGAGGACCTGAGTAGATTGAGTCCGAGTGTTTTCAATCGGGATCAGATTAACCGCAATAGCCCAGTTGTACGTTTTGATATTAAAGACGAGGCTGAGAATATGCTGAACACTACTGTTATTGAATCAACGAGATCAGGTCAACCAGACAGGACTGAACACAATCTAGATATTGATGATCTGGACACGACAATCACAGCGTCAATGCCACCGCCCTCCCCTCCATCACCAAGTGAAGTAAACAGGACTTACGAATGGGAAGAGGCCAACTACAGTCCTCCTCCCCCATTGACTTCGCAGGAACGAGAAGCTTTGATGAATGCTTCCTCAAGGACTAAGGCCTCTGGGCCACCTAAGTGTGCCCCTCCTCTGCCACCAAAGCCAAATTTGGCTAGTAGAACAGACAAAACGCAATTGCAACAGCGTCAACAGCACGCTCGGCAGTTTCCTCACCATCATATGCATCATCCGCAACAGCGACCGAATGCATTACCCGTGAACAGTCCCCCTGAATCTGACAAGTCAAATGAAAGTGAGTGCTCTTCTGTGTCGCCGACATCAATACCCTCGCCCTCCACACACGACCTCTTCGTTTCTTCTCCGTCGCCCACTGATAAACCGGGGACAAACAAGACAATCCCGAGTAACAGCACCATGTTCAAACAACCAACGGAGTTACATAAGGAGGACGAGGACAAACTATCGCTGGGGAGAAGCATCTTAGGGGACCAGTATGGCAGTATACTGAAAAACTGCAAGAGCCGCTCACGTAGTGGCATCTCCATGCCTTCAGACAATGACAGTATAGTACAGTTAGGCAAAGAAGGTGAAAAGCTTCGCATTACCTTTGTTTAGTGGTACGCAACAGTTAGGCACTGTTTGTTATCATAGTTAGGCAAAGGCAATGTCACGAATCTACTGCCAAATTTTTACTAAAGTTACTATGCTAGTTGACATCTTGGCTGGCAAAATTGGGATTTATTTTACTGAGGGAGTTTTGTGGGATCTTAGAGAATTTAAAGTGAACAAGAAAAAAACATATTGCTATGCCTCTTCTAAGATGGGATTTGTATTTATAATAATAAATGTCTATCAAAACCCAAAACTTTACTCAAATTTTAGGCCTGATATACCAATATATAGGACTACCGTATTTGTTCTATTAGAAGCACATACATAAATAACAGTATTTCTATGGTCAAAATAAGTAATATTTTATGAATGAAAAACTTATTATATTGTGGCATATGGTAGCAGTCAAGCTCATGTAGTTGTGTTATTGACAAAGGTATGTTTATGACCAAACAAAATAATATTTTAACAGGTGGTGGTCGTTGTGCAGCGCATGTTCGAATTTCATGTGAACAAACATGAATTTTACATGTGTTGTATATGTCGTTATGGGTCCCATATTGAACAAGACGCAGCGCCACAACCTTAATTACAAATATTATTTTTCGTTTATGTATGATTTTTTTACATGTGCTCCTAATAGAATAAATATTGTATTTACTGACGACTCATATTTTATTATTAAACAGTTTACAATTGTTCAACATCTAAATTTATGTTTATAAATATGCTGCTAGAAATATTCCTATAGTGTATGAAGATTCTTAATATTTCTGAAAGGCTGAAGCAAATTAATCACACAGAAATACCCCGTTCCTGATATGTGATTGGTCACTGTAGTTTAAAATCATATGTGTGCCACATATTCTAAAGTTCAGTAGCGGGGGTACATCTCAGAAAGTTTTGTTCTTGTTCATTTTAACCAAATTTATCAGAAAATAAGAGGAATCCCAATTTTGTCAGTCTGGTGAACACTTTTGTCTGATCGACTCATGTCGTCATAGCTATCTTGCCATGCCTTGCTCATCGAAATCTTGCAATTTTTCTCATCCCACCAGCCTTATTAATTATTGTTCACATCTTTGTACTACACTTCCTAGTACCGCGTGAGTAATGCATGTCTGTTCACATTTAATTTGCATACATTCTGAAACAGAGGCTTTGTGTAAAGATGAGAATAGAACAAACTAAGTACATATTTTTAATATTTTCTTAAATATATAGTGTACCGGGGTATGAACTGTAACGACTATGCTACTACCAGATGATGAGTTTTTAGTTCAAAATTAGAATCACTATATCCATTCTAACTTATTTTTTTCTTGCTTGTGAATACATTAATTTCAGTGGAGCACATATACCACACATGTATTATTTTTTCTACTTTCATTTCTCATGTTTCTGTGCCGAGGTTCACAGTGCTTGCTTTTTACCTTGTATGACTGCACGAGGATCTTTCAACAATGACTCAATGACATCCGATCTACTAAACCAGTTGTAGTAATTTTCATTTGTTTCAAGCCTTTGACAAGAAACAAATCACAATTACTGCAGTTTAATAAATAGGATTTAATAAGATCACAGTTTTGAAATATCCTCTGTCCAGTCTACATATTTACTCGGCATTAGTTCCACAATTTCAATGTTTGCCTGTAAAAAATTAATTGTGTTCATGCATCAATGTTAATGGGACAGTGTTACAACTGCACATGTGACTGTAGTGAGTCCCACCCAATGAAAATTGTGTCCATGGCAACCAATTTCTTATTCCTACCAAGTATGCGTTGCCAGGCAATCAAGATACATCACTTGGGCTGGAGTAAAGTATATCTAGAGATCTGTCATGAAGGCATGCTCTGACGATGCTGGATACAATATCAAGGATTTTTTTGCGACATATTTCATTTGAAAATGCTTTGTTGTGTTCGCACAATGTAGATGATAGCAGAACAACGAGCAATTATTATTTCTAAAAATGCAAATTTTGGACTGGGTGTCAAACAGTGCATACTACCAGTTAATAGAATATGCAGCTGAAAAATATAGCTTATTTTCAAAAAATTAAATTAATTAATTTAACCTTTTTTTTAGCAGAATGCACTATTTATCGTTCATTTTAATATCAATATTACAGATATGGTATATAAAATAATTTTTTTTGTATATACATATATTTTTAATAATGTAAAAGAGGTATTTACTCTGAGACAAACCTTTGTGGCGAGGCTTAAACGGAGAATGAAGATATAAATAACATCATGGTTCTTAAATTATTTTGAGTCTTGTATGTTGTCATCGGCTCCAAGTGTTGAAACCATTGTTGGCGCTAGACAGATAGATAGTTCAGATATTTTCACAGACAATAAAGATTTGCACCTCATTCAGAAATGTAAATAGAAATCTTGAAGTGATATACCTCACATTTTATAAACAAATATTCATTCTAGTTTTGGTGTCTTTTTTGTTTGTATGTCGTAATCAATATTTGTTGTGTATTAATAATAAATTCATGGTTTTTAAAAGCAAAGTTGTGCTTGTGTAAAGCTGGATTTTGTTGATGTTACATCAAAACTAGGAAAACGTGTTTATTAATAGTTTGTGTTTAAGTACTATTATATATATATCACTGCCGTAACTAAATGTTTCTTTTCATGTCATGTAAATTTGTTTTTATACTGAAAACAAACATCACTAGCCAGATCTGTAAAGTCTGTGTTTACACTGCCAAATCTAATTCTCTTTATTGTTTTAACAGGTAAGCTAGAGGATGACAAGCTAGACTCCTCAAATTTTGTATATTAACAATCTGGTTCCATTGTTGACTTGTTTGTTTTCATAGCAACGAACGTTTTTAAGACAGGTCTTCGTTTTAAAGTTTGTGTTAAAGTTTATGAAAATGCAAAAGATGCGTGTTTTTTGTTGCTGTGTTGTATATAAAATCTTTATCTTATAGTGTACTTAAATTCTTTGCAAATCCTGTGTACATATCATTAATTATGCGTGAAATTTGTACATATTACTTTACTGTGTAATTAGGTGAAGGCATTTACAGAGGTGGACCCTTCTAATCCAATTACAATGTTTTTCAAAAAAAAAAAAAAAAAATCTTGCTTTTTGAACAGAATTAATAATTATGTATATTTTGGTGTGATTTATTTATGCCATTTAAATTTAGGGATTGCAGCATTCTTTGTTTCATTTATAGTCCTCTCCAGAAATGGCACCAATTGATGGCTTGACTGTAACTTATGGTTGAAAATCCATAGATTTATATACATGTATTGTATAAATATTTGTATTCTAAAAAGTAAGTTAAAATTATTATTCAAAAAAATCCATCACATTTCTCTATTGGCCTACTAACTGACAATCCGTGCCTTCACAGAAAAAAAAATATTTGGAATCTGAAATACTATAATAAAAAAATCATGACTGAATTCAGCAGAAATCTCATTTTCCCTGAAATTGTTTTTCATTGCGACTGATTTTTGTTTGCATTTGTGTTTTTATAAACTTCTGACAAATTTTGCTCTGAATGCAAAAGTCTTTTGATTCTGGCTGCCATCTCCAATTTTCATAACCCATGACCTAATTTGCATATTAATTATAGTCGCCATGTCAACAATTGCATCATGTACTAATCTTTGGCCATTTTGGAGACGACTATGATGTTGACCAAGTATTTTTCCTCCAAGGACAATTTGTATTGTATATTGTGTGGAAGTTTTTAATTGAAGACATATTTACTCTATTGATGAATAATCCCACAATAAAAACAAATTTTAATACTTATATGAAAACAAATTATGGGTGGACTGCCTTCTATAGTTGTGAGTGCATACACTTATGGGTCTCCTGGCAGGTCACTTGTGTCTTCTACCTGAAGAAATTTTCTGTGGCGAATACTTGCAAATTTTCTGAAAACTCTAGTAGATTTATTATGTGCCTATTGAAAACTTACTGAAGCGACGTCATGAAATGTCCTCAAGTGGCAAAAGTTAAATTTCTTTTGTTTCTTATGCTTTACATGCAGGTCTCCTATCACTAGTTTATAGGGTTCTTGTTGGCCAACTGGTTGTTTTTCTCCAGAACTTGATGTGTGAGGGCTCACTTCCAGATGTTAGGCTAATGTGCAAAAATTTGTTGACAAGCGCTGTGGATTTTGGCAACTATTGGTTACAACAAAAGAGTTTTTCACAATTTTCTGAACAACTGAAAAATGATATTTTGTTTCTATTCATCTTGTAATAGTTTGAGCTGGACAACTTGTGTATTTCTGGTGAGAACTTGTTTACATGCATGTGGCTTCAGCAATTTAAAGGAAAAGTCTAACATAAGACTCCCAGATGAAAGAGTTGGCAAATGTAAGGACATGCAATTTACAGTTTATTTATATCACTTTTCATTCTCTAGATATTCAATTTTTTATCAGTATTATGCAGTTCAACTTTCGAAGTTATAGATAAAAGCATTTTCTCTATTTCTCACAACAGTGACTATGATGTCACACTTTACCCACAATCCTTTGCCGGAGAATCAAGATGGCGGCCTGCAATTTATTGGTGAAAAGTCGAATATCTAGAAAGAGAAGTGATATACAAAAACTGTAAATTGCATTCTTCTACATTTGTGGAGCATTATGTTGTTTGGCTTGACTTCCCCTTTAAATAATTCAATCTTTGAAACTGCTGGACAAAAAATGTCCTCTTCCCGAAATAAACACCACGCTTTAGAACAATGGACACAAGGCTAAGAGTGGTATAACAAAAGATAGTTTTTACCTAATTGCTTAAAAAAAGATTTCAAGAAACAAAATTGAAAACTTTTTCCTAAGTTATAACTACCACTAGAGGGCAGCATTCAAATGGTTCTGTCATGTCAAAATCTTGGTTAGTAAAAAGAAATGCAATTACACAATGTTAAAATCTCACTTAGTTTTACTCAACTCCAAAACTCAACCACACTTTTACAGTTCATTAAATATAATTATAATACAATACATGATAAAATGCAATAAATGTTTTTTGCATAGCATTATACATAATATATATATACACATAAAAAAATCTAATGCTGTGGCTACCAGTATACACTTGTAACCTTGGTAGCTCATTCTCATATACTTGGGGGGAGAGAGGGTCTAAAAAACACAAAAACTTAAAAAAACATGATATGTACTGACCAAACAATTTGTTCCAAGTCCATGCAACAAGGAGACTTTGAATATACTAATTTGTAAACCAGAAAAAAAGTTGTTGGAGCTCAAGACTTTGAAAACAAAGAAGCAAAGGCAGACACAAAACTTTGAGAATAAACACTGAGAATAAAGCAGGAATAATTAATCTTAAAAAAAAATCAAGAACAAATCAATGATGGAGTACCGGTACATGTATTGTAACAGTGAAAAATAAACGATGGAATGATAGAATTTTTTTCTTGATAGAAACAAATCACATATATGCAAAACATGTGGCAGTGGAGTTGTGACTTTGGATAACAAAAACAACCTTTTTTCATACAAATACACAAAAAAATGATTATGTATAACTAAAGAGCAGGTTAAGACAATCTAGTCATTGACATAACTATCTGAACAGAAGACATCAGAGCAGACACAGAGGATCCATGCACTTATGTGAGTGGATATTGTGAAAAACATTTGATAACCAAATATTGTCCACAGTCAGAGAGGTAAAGCAGTTGCCACAGCACTTAAATCCATATACCTAAGGCATGGAGCCAGCCAGAAGCATTTTCGTTATACAGTAACTAACATTTGTAAGCAATTTCAAAATATTTTGGTTCATGCATATAGACTGGGGCTAGAGTGCATGTTCTACTGCTTCAGTCATATTTCATAGGCACCCCTAATTACGATTCAAACATTCAACATAACAGTAGATAATTTACAACCATCACACAGTATATTAACACTGTACCACATTTCCTCAATTTTAAGTACATGCATGTGCACTCGTAATACTTAATTTCAAGTTACTGTAAAATACTTTATTTTTGCTTGGAATTAATTTTTGCTAATTTTGCTGAAGGAATGAGTCAGTGAAAATAAAATCCAGTGAATATATTTGTTTTTTCTATATTTTACTTTCAATTCTACACAAAACACCCAAAAAGTCTTTTCAGCAAAAATTAATTCCGCTAAAATAAAGTATTTTACAGTACTGTAGAAAGTAATAAGGGCCCTGTTTAGCTCCTACATTTTTCTACTGAGTTGTGCATCCAGTACAGACTATAAGAAAACATGTAGAAATACTCTGTTCGCTGAAATCAACGCAAGTAAAAGAATATGGTAATTTACATCTACAATCATAAAGCGCAATACTATACAATAATTTCAAAGCAAAGATTAGCTTAACAAAAATTGAGCCAGTCTGCTACATCAACATCCAATGGAATCTACGACAACAACAAAATGGCCGATGATAGTATCTGACACAATTTCTGGTCCTATTTATGTGTTCATTTGAAAAGGACATTACAAAGCTAAAAATTGTTCACACAAATAAGTGCACTGCATCACTTTAAATAAAATTTAGAATCAATGCAATGTTCCACTCCCTGTACCTAATGCCTAGGTACGATGCTAGTAAAATCCATTCAGATTATACAAACAGTTAAAAAAAACAACAATGAATTTATCACTGTTAAATTACAGATCAGAGTCTATGGTTATATACAAATATTACAAATGGCACAAATGTAGTTTTTTAAATGATGCAAAATGGTTGATTCCCTGTAGCAGACGTCAAATATGAAAGGTAACGGGCAAAGCCAATGCGCTAGGCACAGGCACAATAGATACAAAACCTCCTGAACACATCACCAGCTATGACCCCAATTTATTCCCATTTATTTCAACTATCCTTGGAGGGTTTCAGCAGGCAATTAACTAAAAACAATAAATAATGCTTACAAGCCCCTGATGATGTTATCCTGTAAGAATACACTGCCTGTAACTATGTAAATATAGAGGAATATGTGGGCACTTTGGCCTTGATGATTGGCAAGCTTTCCTGTTGAGAGATACAAATAAAGTTAGTAAGCAGTGCCGGAGACTCTGTGACATAAAAGTGTTAATTTTTGTTTTGTTTTTCTTATCAAATAATCCAATCTCTAAGTTTTAGATAGAACAGGACAATTAAATTTCAAGAAAACCAAATTACCACTACCAGGAGTAGGCCATCTTTGTTTAATCTGAATGTAAAAAAAATCATATTCTGTGCATATATACTCAATACTTCCATAATGTATGCCAAACTTGAATTCCATGGATCATATCACATCTAGGAATCACATGCACACACATACAGAGTAAAAATCATTTAAATGTGGCACACAAAAAGTGGAATTTAAATGTGTACGAAATTCAGTTTTCAAGCATTGAGCATGTTTAACCTTATACGAATGAAATGTGATGTTGTATCACTTTCTACTGAAAAGATAAACCAAAGATATTGATGTCACATAATACAATGGTTAAGCACAAGTAATGGTATATTGTAATGATGATGTACTCACTCTTCCACAAGACTGTTCAATTTGTTGTAAAGCTGTTGCCACTTTGTCTTTATACTTCTTCTCCATTGATCTCTTGGACATCTGAATGAAAAGAATAACATTTATCAGGCATTACATGATACAAATGATATGTCTAACCCAGTAAGGTTGGGCTAATTTTTACACTTCTAACTCAATCCAAAAACTTATGTGCATTGTATAAATGGTTTGGTTTATAGGTAAACTTTTAACATAGCAGGATTTAAACGTACAACTGCCCTATATGATGAGCATTTTAGATTACTGTGGAATACTTTATTTTCGCTGGAATTTATTTTCGCTGAAAAGACTTTTTGGCCGTTTTGCTTGGAATTTATTTTCACTGAATTTTGATGAGTTTAATGTGAAATATAGGAAAAAAACTATATTCGCTGGATTTTATTTTCACGGAATCATTCCTTCAGCGAAAATAAATTCCAAGTGAAAATAAAGTATTCTACAGTATCCTCTGTGATGCTTGTAGAAGAGCATCTAGTGAGGATTGTATAGTTTCTTCCATGATTTCTCTAATATTGTTCCTTATGGGTGCTTGAAGAAAGGTGATGTATACATGGTCGTATTTATAAACTATGGTGGTAAAATTTGATTTTTAATAAATAACACTTTCACTAAAGGTCAACTTGGCTGTCACAGTTGTTTTTCTTACGTAATTAGACAATAGTGGGCAACAGTGCAGTCTTGTAGTTTTTTACTCTTTTATTATTAGTCAAAATAAACAGACTGCCAAACCAAGTTTACATGCTATAATAAAAACAGAGAGAATAAGGAATATGAATGTCATCATTTTGAACAGACTTTGGAAAGAATCAAACTATTGGAACTTTATTCTAAGTCAAGTTGATTATAGATCAATTTCATCATCAAAATCCACATTGATAGTAAAATTAACAGTAGTGGGTCTGATGATGAAATTAACATATGATTTACAAAAGTTACCCTGCCTGTTATTGTAGTCATGTTAGAAGCCAGTTACAGAATGACAAACACTCTACACAGGGTTTTCACTTCACTCGACTTGCTCTTCATGACCTGAAAACTGTGTAAAGCTTACTTTATCATTTTATAACCAATACTGAATAATGCAAAATGATAAGGTTTTTAAACATAGATAACTCATTTCACTCTTTTATGTTGATATTATCCCACAACACAAACAAAATTACAGTATACTTACACAACCAAGGAGTTGTTTGAGATGTGGATTCAGGTGTGCTCCAGCAGCAGCACTGAGCTGAACTACAGAGTTCAATGAACCTTCAAATACTTGCCCATCACTGTGACTCTGTGAGCAAAATATAACATGTTGCAGTGATAAACTACATGTACTGCACTCTTTTTCAAAACATGAAAACAACAAGAAAATTGTGTTCAAATGTTACATGTTTTTTTTAATGTTCAAGTGGTTTTGATATAGCTACTCTTAGAGACTTGTATGGAAGCAGAGTGATTATAATATATTCCAGACACTAAAGAGACAATGACAAACCGATATACCATAGCAAATATAAAACAACTCCAGTTGTGTAAATATGTTGAATGTAAACATGGAGTTCTATGATGTGAATAACTCAGCCAATCTTTGTTGTTACTTGTATATATATGTATTATTTAATTCATGTGACAACAGTGTCTCAGGGTTTGCTCGCTGGATGACCCCGATGAAATCATACAATGAAATCTTGAAAATGAAAGCTACTAATGAAAATAGTTTTCCTTGCAAATAGCCATTTAAAAAGGAATCTTTATTCCTACATGTTGAGTTATATATGGATGCACATGATGTCATGTACCAACTGATTGCAGTTTCATTCACTAATTTATTAGTAAATTATAGAGAATTTATTGCAACTTATGATTCTTCACACTTATTATAAAAATAATGAACCCACAGTGCCATATTGAATGCATTGTCGATTGGAAAGTGAGAGTCACAGCAATCTAGTATATGAATCACCCCTGAATCAAATATGACACTGTGTGCAATATGGATTCCATTATTGTTAGGCATCATGCAGTATCTGAAGTGATACTGTAAATTATGCTTGTTTTAAAGCAAAAACTGGTGCGTAGCATAGAATATTTTAGGCCAATCTAGGCCAGGGGCATGACGACACATTTATGAACGATGTTCATGAAAGAAGATTTAAAGATGATACATTCAACATGTTAGTTCGTTTAATACACTTCTTTCTTTGCATAAATAATGCCACAAAAATTTCAGCTAAAATTTCAGTGGTTTAACCAATTGCCTGCTGTAAGCTTCTACAAATGGCCAAAATGAATCGGGGAAAAAAAGCATGGTCAGCAGGTGATGTTTTAAAAATGATTATTGTGAGCATTTATTTATTCTAGTTTAGATGTCACTTGCATGATGCCTTCGTATCCGGTACATGCTGTTTTAGTCAGAAATGCACATTAGAACATGTTATATTTATTATTATAGAACAGTGCATGCCTACTTTTTGTATTAGTGTCCATGTCATACAGAGCATGCAAATTTTATTCAAACCACAGGGACTGCGGGAAAAAAATGTATCCAGTCTTCCTAAAAGAAATCATTCACTTACCAATGCAGCTCTAAGAGGCGCTATAATCTTGGGTAACACAGGCAATATTTTTTCTGAAGACTCGTACACTTCTAAGAGCTCCTTGAAGCCCATCTGTGCAACAAATATATATGGATGCTTTGTTTCTCTCAGCCCCTGTTATAAACAATTCAATATAAAAGACAAGTACACTTTAATGAGTCATCAAACAAAGGGGGTGGAGTTGTTGTGCAATTGTCGAAATAGTACAAAAGAACAGCTTGTTAGAGTCAACATGTTCCAACAGTTATTTCATGTCGATCATTTAGAGGGGACATAACATTAATTATAAACATATGCATCTCAACATTATCCCTAAGATTTTGTTAGCAGTTTGGAGAAATTACATACATTTTCCGCTGACATTTAATTTTTTTTTAACAAAATAATTGGTATGCCTATATACTGAAAAAGAAAATGTCATGCTTTCTTTAGAGTGGTGATAAAGAAATCTTTTTTCTATTCATTGATCACATTGATACAGCTTGTTGGCGCATACAGACAATATCCCTAAGATGGAAAGTGCACATACTAGTGATCGGGGATTGCATTAACACTTTAGTGTTGTGAGTCCCAATGAAAAAATGAAGAGAAATTGACTATATATTCTGTAATTTTTTATTACAAATGGGACCCATTATACTAAAACTGGGGAAATTATCTAGTATTGGGGGTTAGGGTAACAGAATATGGGGTTAACGTAATCCCTGCTAATGTTGGACACTGCACAATGTCTGTTCAATGACAACAATTTCCATGGTTTGAAAAAATATAGTTGGGGTCTGTAGAAATAGTAATGAAACCAACGATATGTACATTAGTAGTCAGAAAATAGTTTACCTCTGTTAAAGTGATCAAAACAGGATCATATGCTACTTCTTCAACAGGTATATCCCAGTGGAGTTTATGTTTCACTGAACCATGGACTAGTCTGGTGAGAAATACAATACAGAAGACATAAACTTAATTTAGTTCCTAGGAGAGATGTACTAGCGATTCTTATTGGCATATTTACTTTATAAATAAAAAACTTGTGACTTTTTCTATGCATTTGTATCGGATAATTTATGAACATCACTCATGAATAAAAAAAGTACGCAATCGTGTATATAATTAAAATTATAGATTAAAAAGAAAACTGGGTTAATGGATACAAGGAATCAAGTTCACAATTACAACACATTTCCAAGTAATATTACTGGAGCATATACATGTATTTTTTAACAAAAACATTGAAACTCACCTGCATGGAACGCCTCCATTCGCATACACCGTTGCAAATGCCGACTTCGGTCCTCTCTCATTAAACTGTTGACAACAAAACTTACACAAGTCAAACTCTGGGGTTTTGAAGTTTAGATAACGAGGAGATAATTTAATTTAGATACAGACATTACATTTCTCAATTGTGTATAAATACCATAACAGCTGTCTACATTAAACATGTCACGACGGGGATCTAGGTTTAAAATGGTGGTCAGACCGGCCACAAGAAGATACTTAAAAATATCAGTTTATAGAGCAGCAAATATAAACCGTATGTACAATCAAAGAATAACGTACCGGGTCGATCGTTTTGGGATTTAGTCGATCTGACGGTCGAGTTTTTACAGGTCTGCCACTACTTCCAGCTGACGACGGTTTTGACCCCGTGGAACTTGTCGAGCCTGCGCTGCTGCTTCTAGACTTGCTTCCACCCGATGACGCTCTTGGAGGTCCAAAACTCGTCATTCTTTGGCTATATACAGGTTCCTACTGATGCAGGCTGATACGTATTCGCCTGGTTGTTGTTTTGCGAAGAATGCAAAATAGACTGGTGATATGTAGATCACGAATGACGATTTGTTTTTCTTCGGAAAACTTTACAAGATCAATTTACATGGCCGCCATTTTGTCGCTGGAATCATGGGTTTTTGAATAACTGGGCATGCGTAATGGTTGCTAGGCTGGCCGATTCACAGGGTTACTTGGATAATGTTATTCCGAGTAATTTAATAAATCATTCAAATATTACTTATTTTGGTGATCCAACATTTTATTGTTATTTTATGATTTTTTTTCAATTGAATATAATGCAAATTGACAACGTAACTATAACGGATAATTTCCACACAGGATGTTACATTAGCCCTATTTTCTTGACCTAGCGGAAGAAGATTGTTGTCATTTCAGGAGTTGCAGGACTCCACTTCGAAATGTTTTGGAGCGAAGTTGAGATGACTGAAATTGAAAAAAATTGACGAGATTTTTGTGAGAACTTTCCAATTAATTTGACTTTCATTTACTGACTACATAGGAACTTCATAGCCACAATGGATAGCAACATACGTCTGTTGCTTGCCTCGGTTCAACAGTACGGAGGTAAGAAAGTCTGTCGCTGTATGGTCAGCTCGAGTTATTCCATGGCGGTATCCCTCAATTTAATCCCCCACATGATACCATCGATTCAATATAGTATTATGAAAATATTATCACACATGCTTTTGTATTTAAATTAGCACATGTTGTATTTTTGTATTTTTCATATGCAGTTATAGTATAATGTTATTCTATGTCTCGTGGGGGGGGGGGGCTGGAAGGAGGGGGCTGCATTTTCTGCATTATATTCCACTTTATATTTCAGAATTATTACATGCTGCATTTATAAATTTATAAATTTTTAATTTTTGGTAGAATTTTCTTACATTTTGTGAGACAATTTGCCTCCTATAAGTAAAAAATGCAGGCCAAAAATATAAACCATGATGGTCTCATGTATAGTGTACGTCTGATGAGAACACTGAGTGATGAACATTTATTGAGGTCACAACGTGAACACACACATTGGAATCTCAATTTTATAAACAAATAGTGGAACTTCCACACAATTCTTAGTATATATTAATTTAAGCACATAATAATTATTAAGTTACAAGAAATACTCACATGCTACAACAAATTTATGGATGAGCCACAGTCAAAATGCGCACAAATTACATGTAGATCATGAATAGATTGGTGTGCAATATAACTCAATTTTGTCATGAATAAGTCTTCAGCTATTGTCTTCAGCTATTTTCTCAAAAACAACCGAATTCATTCATAATGGGAATTACGATATGATACTTTTTAGTCACTTATTTATATGCAAATTAGCTTCATCTGACAAATTTTGGGAGCACACTGATTTCATAATCTGTTTATTGATGTAAACAAATAGTACAATTCTCAGAGTGAAAATATTTGCAAATATGGGATAATATTTCATGTGCAAAGTGGAAATAACATATCTAACTGTAGATTTGCTAATACAAGTAGTATAGACCTAGAAAACATAACAAGCAACTGACAACAATTGATACAAGTACACTACAGAACATGGACAAATTAGTAAGAGAACTATGTCCTAATTGTTTTTTAATAATCAATCTTATTCTAGTTCTTCATGGGGAGAATTCAGCATTACATCAAGCATATGAACTGCTGAAGACAGTTGCAGACAGTAGACCAAATACAGATGGTCCTGAAGCATTCGGTCATGACTTGTATGTCCTGTGCGCTGAGATCGCATTCCAGGTATAGAACAACCATGGTCTGATAAAGTAAATGTATAAATGCTGATATCGTTTGTCTTTTGTAAACATCAAAATTGTTACAGAGTTGAAAGGTATTAGCATTTATAGCATAACTAGTGTTCTTTGATACAAACAGTGTGGCAGTATTGCCACAGTGCTTTGTTTTACCGCCACACATGCACAGTCATTTATTTTCACTATGTTCTTGCTGACTTTTTAAGTCAAATTGATAAATTGCCGAAAACTGTAGTGTTATCACTGTTGTTGCAATACCAGTTTTGTCAGTGTATAATTATGTGCATGGGTGTGTTAATCATCACAGTATCTGTTTTGAATAATTATGCAAATTTTAAGCTAATGTATGTTAATTAGTAATTAAATTCTTTCTGAAGAGAGCACTTATAATGCATCTTTGCCAGTCAGATGCAGTATATACAGAAACTCCATGAAGTCTGATTCCTTGTTTTATTGGTAATTGGCAATTGTAATCCACTAAATATATTTAATCACTCTGAGTCATTTTTTTTAATTTTCCATCCAGAATGGTTACCCTGATATAACCAAGGATTGTCTACGTATGTACTTTATGAAGACACCGCCACCTAATCAGTTTTTGTGCCGTGCATATCTCTGTCAGTCGCAGCTACTTGCGCCGTCCTCCGCTGAAAACCCGGTAAGAAAATGTGCAATGAATTATATTAACAAAAAAAAATGATTGGTGAAAATCAAACCATACAAAATGTTATATGGTACAAAATGATGATGATGCATTTTTCTTTCA